GTGGGGGGGAGCAAGGTCAAGTTGTAATGTAGAAGACTAGTAGGTAGACTGTGACGATAAAGACAGGAAACAGAATGGGCATTAAATTAAAACAGCAGCATAAAACCAAATATAGATACTTGGGGTGCTGTATCAATGTGGTGATTGATGGAACAGACCATTAAAGGGTAAAGAGGCCCCATGACTCCCAACGTTAGCTTTCTGTGACAAGGTAGATGATGGTCTACTGTAACAAGGGGAGCAGGCCCAGTTTTACCCCTTGGTGGGGTTTAGCGTAGGAGAAGATTCACCCTCACCCATGAAGTCTTTCCTGACTAACCCAACCAGAAGGGCCCCTTCTCTCTTGGAGATCTAAGTGCTCTGAGAGATTGTATCTTGTTCAAGATAATCAAAGTCCGATGGGAAAATTGACAGTCAGTATATGTCTCTTCCCACATCTGCTTTGCACTGGGATTTATCACATTACCGAACACTCACAGACAGTGGGAAGTCCACATCTCTGGGTTTGTACAGTAATTTATAGTACAGAATTTTAAAACAGTTAAATGCTCAGTCTACTTTTAATTCTCACTGTGTACCAGCAATTCTGACAATATCTGTGTTCAAATATTCTTCACCTTATAAATTTTTTTGATCAAAATTCTAAATAACTACTGTGGTTACTGCTCTTTGATAAACAGTGCATTCCACTTGAAGATTAACACAAAACTTTCAGTTACAGAGTTGCTCCTGGATGCACACAAATTCAGATCCATGTGTTCACTTCAAGAGTAAATACACAAGGTTCAGAATCACTGTAATTCAGAACCCCTGTTTGTTTTTCTGATCCCTGTGATGTTACATATGCCTGTATTCACATGGAACATTTTAAAGAACCAATAACAGCACAGTAATTGTAGTCATGAAAAAACAAAATGTAAGCAGTTTCATTTCTGTACACTTTGTAACCATTTTGAATATTTATTTAAAACAGTGAAACAATACAAACTATAAGATCTATTTTTTCTTAAGTTTATCCATGAGGTTTTATTGATTAATTTTTTTACAATCGAATTATACACTCATCTTTTAAGTATGGTTTTAAAATTAAAGAATGAAACAAGAAAATAAAAATTCACAATAATGGTACAATTTAGTAATTGCTAAATTTCACCTTTGTAGAATTTTGGTTGTAATAGAATTCACTTACTGGTTACTAAAAATTATTTCAGTATATAATATAGTATAAGAAGGATTTTATCTGTAACTGTCCTATCTTTTCTATTTTCATATTCTTTACATTTTTTACAACTCTGGCACAGAGTTATAGACTCCATGATGTATAATTGAATTTCCAAGCATGTGAAAAGGGAAGTTAGGAGGCTGAAGCAGTCTGCTAACTGTAGGGAGAGAAATGAACTTTGGGAAAACAAGGGTTTCACTTGGCCTTTTTGCTTCTGTCCACACTTCTTTGTCATAAATCTAACCACATTCAGGTGTTATACTGTTAGGTACTTCCTTTTGATAAATTGCCTTACCCTTTCTCTTCACTTTTTTAAAACCTCATTCTCATAAAGTAGTTTGTTTTCATTTTTATTCTGAATTTATGGAAGCACCTGAATTAGGAAGTCTTAAAGTGAACTTATTTGAAATCTCCAAGTACTTATAAATATATATAAGAATTCAGAGGTTCTAAAAATTTTCTTTAGGACCCATGTCTCAACCAGAGTCCTGAAAACTGAATCATGTTTCAGTTATTCTGATTAGAGGTTGATGAGGTGTGAGCACAAATCATAGTGAGGATTATTAGGTGTAAAGAAATAGCTAACAAAAAATAATGTTGCTACTAGCCAAGAAATAAAGTGGAACATGATAATGGGTAAACTGGTATATGGAGTGCTAAAAGTTTGCCAGTTTGACAACTGATCAGTGTTAGCACGCTTTGTTTTTAAAAAGAGACCTGTGGTTATAATCTCCAGTTTATGTTACCTACGATGTTGTGTATATGTTAAGATGCTCGAAGGTTATTGAAAGACGTTAATGCAGGGGATGGATTATATGTATTGTTGGATGAATAGCAAATAGGACTGTTCAGAGAGAGTTGAGAGATTGAGTGAGTTCAAAACAGAACCAAGAGAGAAAAAGAAGGATGTAGAAAAAAACACTCAGAGAAGACGCTCTTAAGATCTTAGCCTTAATTCCAGTGGGGGGATAATACAAAAGTGTAACTCACTACAAAGTGCTTTATTCAAGGAAATGTTGACTTATTTTACCAGCCTAGGGAGTCATTCCATAGTAGAATATTCCATGATTTTTATACACTTCTGATGTAACTGGTACAATATGTTGAAGTGATTGTTATAAACTGGTCCATTTCTGGTGCTTTCATATGACCCAACAATCACACTCTACCCAAAAGACACAAAACACTGATTCAAAAGGACACCTGCACCCCCATGTTTATTGCTGCTTTATTTACAATAGGAAAGACATGCAATCAACCCAAATGCCCAAAAGTAGATGACTGGATTAAAAAGATGTGGTACATACACACAGTGGAATATTATTCGGCAATCAAAAAAGATAAACTCATGCCTTTTGCAGCAACATAGATGGAACTGGAAGGGATCATGCTGAGTGAGATAAGCCAGAAAGAAAAAGAAAAATATTGGATGGTTTCACTCATAGCAGGAGCATAAAAAGCCAGCAGGGAAAATAATAATAATAATCATAATGAACAACTATATACCAGAGACATTTTACGGGGGTGGAGTGGGGAATGGGATCAGAAATAGGGGATGGAAGTGCACTGGACTATGGTGATGGCACACGGGTGATTTGGTGATGAGAAGCCCACAAGCATTACAAATGAGATGGGAAAAGACACAAAATGATGTAAAAATGAACTATTATATTAAATAAAAAAAATTGGTCCATTTCTCACAATTTTTTAGTGTGAGTCTCAGAAGGGATAATATAGTCTAACGATCAGAAAATGAATAAATGTTAGTTGAAGTTTGCCCTTTGGAGGTCAAAATGTTTATAAGTAAATGTTTCTGGTGTATTTCCTTGTAAAATAAACTTAACACTTTTTGTTTCAAAAATGGAAGACATCATTTTAAGTTGTATAGTTGATTCAAGTGTATCATGATGAACATAGTTGTTACTTTTTATTTATAATACCCTTAGCTAACTGGGAAATGACAATGTAATTGTAAGATTCATGTATAAAATAAGATAAATTTTGGATCTTACAATATCTGTTTGCTTGCATTAAGAAAATTTCCTTTTCATGCATATTGGGTCTCAGTTATATTCTAGATTTGAGATTATGAGGTGAATACCTTCATGGAAAGTTAAGAGCAACACAATTTTTCAATGATAAAGAGAATTAAAAACAATTTTCTGGGCCCTCCCTGGTGGCGCAGCGGGTTAAAGCACTGCACTAAGAAGCTTAAGCCAATTCCACCTGAGTTCGATCCCCGCCTGCCCCGGAGGTGACCACATGGTGTGGCAGACCTCTCCTGACCCGCCCGCTGCTCCCCTCAGCAGTGTACTTCGTCGAT